CATCAGGCTCTGTGCTGACAGCTAGCTCAGAGCCTGGAGACTTTTTCAGATTCTGTGTCTCCCTCTCTCTCTGACCCTCCCTTGCTCATGTTGTCTCTCTCTCTCTCTCAGAAATAAATAAAACATTAAAAATTTTTTTAAAAATAAAAAAAACAATTTCCAACTATATGGTGTCTATAGGAGACACACATTAGAGTCAAAACTATCAACAGGCTGAGAGTAAAAACAAAGAAAAAGATATATCATGTAAACAGCAACCATAAGAAAGTTGACATGCTGTACATACTGTACATTTATCAGACAAAATAAACTTTAAAACAAAAAGTGTTATTAGAAATAGGGAGACATTGGGGCACCTAGGTGGCTTAGTCAGTTAAGCGTCCGACTTTCGCTTAGGTCATGATCTCGCGGTTCATGGGTTCGGGCCCCGCGTCGGGCTCTGTGCTGGCTGCCAGCTCAGAGCCTGGAGCCTGTTTCAGTCTGTGACTCCCTCTCTCTCTGACCCTCCCCGCTCACGCTGTCTGTCTCTCTCTCTCTCCTAGAAATAAATAAAAATATTTAAAAAAAAAAAAAGAAATAGGGAGACATTTATAATGACAAAAGGAAGACTAAAAACTATTATAAATATATGTGCACCAAACATCAGAGCTCCTAAATATATTAAATAGTGACAGAATTAAAGGGGGAAGACAGCTCTACAATAATAGGAGTCTTCAACACATCACTTTAAAAAATGGATACAACCACCAGGCAAAAGATCAACAAAGAAACAAAAGACCTGAACAACACTAGAAACCAATTAGACCTAACATGTATCTATAGAAATACGCCGCCCACCAACAGCAGATTATACATTCCTCTCAAGTGCACAATCAGCATTTTCCAGGATAAACCATATGCTAAGCCATACAACAATAGCTGTATGAGGCTAGTGGCTACTCTATTAGACAGCTGCTACGTGCAGATACACTTGCTACTTGACTAGAGCATCCTAAGACAAGCAGGAATCCTTTTCTTCCATAGTGTGAGCTGCAGGGGTGACTACAGAAGCCTTCACAGAAAATACCAGATCCTCCAGAGGTCTGCTCACAGACCCCATGGGCCATCACCATTCCTAGATCCCATTATCACTACACACAAAGAACACAAAGAATAGGAGTGGGGAAGGGAGGAGGAAGAGATACACATATTCACAAAAGATGACTCACATTAGCCAGTAAGCTCACTCTTAACAGAAATAAAACAGTCATGCACATATGAAAATGTTTTAGAATATGTTTCTAAGTAGGCTTCATGCCCAGCACAGAGCCCATAGAGTATTTTTTTAAGTATTTAAAAATATACATTCATAATACTAAAACATACTCCTCTAAAAGAGATATTTTTTAGTATCTCTTTAATACTTCTTAATACCTCATTTTAAAACAATTATGTTTCCAGCTGATTCAGCCTTTAAAAATCCTAATTAATCATTACTTGAAATAAAAACTTCGGCACTAAAAGCAGTCAACAATTTAGCCACAGATTAAAGAAAGGATTTTTGTTCCCAACTTGCTATTCTTCAGACTTCAGACTTCTAAAATGTAATACTTCCCTACATAAAGTCATTTTTATTCTTCAAGGTTTTTAATAAGCCCCATGAATACTTAAACCATTTCCAAATCAGTAAGAATAATTATATCAAATATACAGTGGTAAAATGATAGTATGTAAACAAAACACAATTTTACTGAGGGGCCTGGATGGTTCAATCAGTTATGCATCCAACTCTTGATTTCAGCTCAGGTCCTGACCTCATAGTTCACAAGTTCCAGCCCAGCCATGGGCTCCGCACTAGGCATGGACCCTGACAGAGATTCGCTCTTTCCCTCTCTCTCTGCTCCATGCGCGCACACACAGACACACACACATTTTACCTTGATAAAAAAGATATCACTTACTGTACTTTTATCCTTTAGAAGTTTTTCAATTACTTCAATTAACATTTCCTTCTGCTCTGGATCAAGGCTAAAACATAAAAAGAAAAGAACACAAATTAAATTTTTTCCTTTAATTCTAATTTTAAATGAAGGTAATCATTTCAAGAATATTAAGAAATATTTTTGAGGAAGGAGAGCAAGAATTATATGAACACATAAACAGAAAACAAATGTCAAATAAAATGGGATGTTTTTCTCCCAAATGTATCCTAATCTTTTTCTTTAACATTGCTCATATTAGGGCACCTAGGTGGTTGAGTCAGTTAAGCTTCCGACTTCGGCTCAGGTCATGATCTCGTGGTTCATGGGTTGGAGCCCTGAATCAGGCTCTGTGCTGAGAGCTCAGAGCCTGGAGCCTGCTTCGGATTTTCTATCTCCCTCTCTCTCTGCCCCTTACCCACTCACACTCTGTCTCTCTCTCTCTCCAAGGTGAATAAACGTTTAAAAATATATATTATAAAGTTCCTCATATTAACTAAACCCAGATACTTATAACATTAAGAAAGTATCAAGTTCAGAGGTGCCTAGGTGGCTCAGTCAGTTAAGCCTCAGACTTCAGCTCACATCAAGATCTCATAGTTTATGAGTTTCAGCCCTGCATCAGGCTCTCTGCTGTCAGCTCAGAGCCCACTTCAGAAACTTTGTCCCCATCTCTCTTCCCCTCCCCTGCTCATGCTTTCTTTCTCTCTCTCTCAAAAACAAATAAACATTAAAAATAAATAAATATCAAGTTCACCTCTAAAAAACAGTTGGGAAATTTTAAAAATGTAATTACAAGTAGATAAAGTAAAAATTCTTTTTTTAACCAAGGGAAAAAGTTAATACGATAGCAATCATTTTTGACTATGGATATACTATGGTCAAAAACAAATATAGAGAATTCACAAATAAGAATTTTGTTTCATTTTAGTTCAGTAATAAACTAAATGCATTACAAAATCTGGCATCTAAAACCAAAAACTATAAGCAAAGGCTTATATATATATATACAGAATTAGGAAATGCATCCTATTAATAGCTTTAAGCACTGAAATATTGATAACAATATAATTTCCTCCTAACATGTAATTCAAATGTTGACCATTTACTGAGAAGCTGAAGAATGGGAATACAAAGGTAAATGAGACTGTCTAGCGAAGAAAGTCCCAAACATAAGCATACCACATAACAGACATATGTACAAGGGGTTACGGAAATAACAAGAGCACCAATGGAGGCAGGAGGATTTCTTAATGAAAAGTAACATCTCAGATGAATCTTAACAATTTGACTTTAGAAATGAAGAAAGCAGAAAACTTTCCAGGGAGAGACTAAACAGATGGTACTAAGATAAAAACATTTTATATAGAGGACTAACAGCCAGGACCTAGCTACCAAATTGAAGCAAGGAGAATAAGGGTTGCGGTGAGAGGTAAAACCAGGTCCAGTGATGGACTTTTAACCCATCATAGTGAGCTTGGATCTTATTCTGCAAGCATGTAAAAAGAAAAGATTTAATGAGTGATAAATATGATATAGCTTTGTCTGACAGTTAACCTAAGAAAATGAGTTTTTACTTTTTACACACTTATATAAGTTTACTGCTAACTAGTATAATTATCTGAACAAACCTTTTAATTCTTTCAAATTCTAGCTCTGGTCTCCCTTCTCCAAGCAGTCTTTCCTAACCCCACTTCATTACATCTTTACATTATGAAGTCCCTATATGATCATCTCTGAACCATATCCTATCAAAATCATGGTTAGTGTAGGGCACCTGGGTGGCTCCATCAGTTAAGCATCCAACTTCGGCTAAGCTCATGATCCTGTGGTCTGTGAGTTCAAGCCCCATGTTGGGCTCTGTACTGACAGCTCGGAGCCTGGAGCCTGTTTCAGATTCTGTCTCCCTCTCTATCTTCCCCTCCCCCACTCATGTTCTGTCTCTCTCTCTCTCTCAAATATAAATAAACATTTAAAAAATCATGATTAGTATGTCTGTGTGTGTCTATCATATGCTAATATCTTATTTAATTATAAATTGTCCTTAATTGGTATTGGTTTTATTTTTTTTCATCAAATACGTGTTAATACAGCCTCTACCATTTTCATACACCTTACACATACAACCCGACATCAAAACCAAAAAACAATCTTGACAGAAGATTGTGGAATCAATGGTAACAGAAAATAATACCAAATTATTACATATAATAACTTTTACATAAACAATTTGTTTTCCACAAATATCAAGGCATCATATAATGTCTTAATAAGTATCATACAAATATGGTATGGTGCTGTATTTCAAAATGAACATTTTAAAATTCAATAAAATAGCTCTGGACAAAAGTCAGGCAAGGAAGGGAACATCAGAAAGGAATGGAAAGAAGGATGGAAAGGATGGAAGAAAGGAGAACAAAATGAGTTGAAAGGAAAATACACATAAGATTCTACTCCATAATAAAAAAAATCTTAATTTTCTAATAATATAGCTATATACCTATAGTTAACTATATACCTATATATATATACACCAATATATGTATATGAGTTTCTCTCATACCTATATATGATATATATAGGTATATATGATATAGGTATATCTCATACCTATATATATATATATATATATACACCTATATATGTATATGAGAGAAACACTATATAAATGAGAATTAAAATTCCATTCACTGTTAATTTATAGAATCTATAAATCATCACAGGCCATGGTAGGCTCACAAGTAAACACCAGGATAGGGTTTCTATAACCAAAATAAAATTAAAGTAGTCACTCTAAAGTAAGGAGAAAAATGGTCACTGGGTTTTGCTTAGTATAAGGACAGACTAATTATAAGAGCTTATAAAATAAGCCTCCATGGGCTATAACATTCCATGTAACGTTTTTGGTATAATTAACAAAGCACCTACCTGTACAATTTCTGTATTGCATGGGCTGCATTCTTCCTAACATATGGCGATAAGTCAGCAGAAGCCTCCTTAATAGCAAGCATCATAATAGGTACAATGATTGGTACTCTAATACTTGACAGTACTCTCAAAGCACTTGCACGGATTAGTTGATTTGGGTCCTAGAAAGAAGGCCAAAATATTCAACAAAATTTCAAGTTTAATATTTCAAAGATATCTCTATGACATAGTTAACTGGTGCTCACAGGGTACAATTTAACAACAGAAAAAAATCTGCTTAATTTAAAGAACCAATATATGGACAATGGATAAGGAAAAAGTTAAATGTTCATTTCTCTGAATGATATTTGAACAAGAAAAGCAACGGTTATAATCCTAGTTGATCATTCACTATTAAACTAGCTGGGTTTTCAGAGTTTCACAATGCTAGAAAGCTGCAGGTTATAAATTTTCCCTTTAAAAAGTTACGTCCCCTCACTGTACACTTTCAACAACTAGGTATAATGATGAAAAGTTCTTGGATGCATGATAATGATTACACAGAACATAAAAGAACATGTAGAAAACAAAAGAGAGAGAGAAAAATCGAGTGAGAGGTCTTTCAACTCTTTCAAAACACTACTGCGCCAATTAAGTAGATTACTACTCTCTACTTCTTTAACACACTTTCAACTTTGCACCAATCTTGTAGCAATTTGCTGGCTCACTGTATTATTTACCTTCAGAGCTCTCTGAAAAGTGCTTATGGACAGGAGTGCCAGATCCTGCTGCTCTTCAGCATACCGGACCAGGTAAACATACACTAACTTCTTGATCTGTTAAAAAAAAAAAAAAAAAAAAAAAATCACTTAATCGTAGCCAGAGCGAAAATTAAATTTCACTAGTTTGTACGCCAAATCCATGCTGAATTTTTGTGAAGTAAAATAACTGAACTTGGTGACTGCTTATATTGTGACATAAAGAGAATATACTGCAGCATGATGAATGGCAACAGAAAAAAACCTGTGAAATAAGCATTTTAATAATCCAATCCATAACAGCAACATCTTATCAAGGATGTTGTTCTGTAACAACACTCCAAAAGGTCTTGACGGTTAACTTACGTTAAGCTTATACTCCTTGCTTGCTGACCTAAGTCCCTTGGTCCTTAGATGAACTAATCTACTTTCCTTGAGATCTGCAGACCACTGGCCCCTTAAGGAGAGAAGGACCAGTCTTTCTCAGAAGAAAAGCCCGGACCATATTTGATGCAAGCAAGTCTGTTCAGGGTCCTGTCAACATACGACCACTTCCCCTGGCACCACCTCCTCCTACAGATAGCCCACCCCCAAACCCCATATCCACACATCTTCCCTTTTAACACCATCTGGCTTTGCCTGGACAGAGAAGATGGTCTTTGGGACATTAATCCACCATCTTCCCAGGTTACTAGCTTCTTGAATAAAGTAACATTTCCTTTCCCACTGCCACTTGTCTTTTTATTGATTTTCAAGCAGTGAGCAGCTGAACCTGAGTTGAGAACCAGTTCTCTGTCAGACAACACTTTCTCTCAAAGGGAATAAGAAAATCGCTGTGCAAAACTCATACAAGAATATTAAGGGGTGCCTAGGTGGCTCAGTCAGTTGATTTTGGCTCAGGTCATGATATCAGGTCCTGGGATCGAGCTCCGTGTTGAGTTCTGCACTGACATCACAAAGCCTGCTTGGGATTCGGTCTCCCTCTCTGCTGTCTGTCTCTCCTCATCTTGTTCTCTATCTCTCTCTCAAAATAAATAAAAATAAACTAAAAAAAAGAACATTATATTAAAATATTAACTGAATTGTAAAAATATTTTCAAAATGAAGGATAAAAATACTAGAAAGAACTTGGGTTCTGTCCTCTAGCTACACAGCATATGAACTTATGCTTCCTCATCAAAAGATGTCAGAGTCCCAACTCTGACTGTATGGTACCATTCACATTCCAATATGTTACATGATACTTTCAGCTCAGTAAGAATAAGGTATGACAATAATACCAATGTTTTGTGATAAAAATTCCAAAAGACTCCAAGTGTCTTCTGACAACTGCTTTAAAGTGCAATTTAATCAGTTAAATCTAAAACAGAATTATGAAGAGAAAAATTAAATAAAAATTAAATTAAAATTTAAAAATGAGTCAAAATTCATCAACTGCTTCCTTCTAACATAGCTCATAGCCTATATCTTCCTTCTCAAATATCTTCATATACCACTACCTGATTAACTTTTTTATATATGAACAGAGTACAGACCTAAAAGTTTATGGAATATTCAAAGAGCACAGGAAATGAGGGGAAGTAGCTGGAAATAACTGGAATTGATGCTAGAAAAGAAAAAGAGTGCTACACTGGGCCATATTTTATGTCATACTAACCAATCTGAACTTCTTTAAAGACAACTACCATGGCCTTCCTTCACACTCCACTTTCCTTTGACACAGCCTAGCTTTGTTTTGTTTTAAGTAAGCTCCAGGCCCAACATTGGGCTTGCACTTAAAACTACAAGATCAATAGTCATATACTCTACCAACTAAGCCAGCCAGGCACCTAACCCAGCATAATTTTGAAATCCTTAACTATCGTGTTGGCTTTCTTCTGAACTCACTACAATTTGTCTATATTTCTTTTGGTGTAGAACCCCAAACTACAAATGAAGTTTAAGTAGAACAAATAATGTAAGACCATGTTTTTTTGTTTTTTTACAAATAGTTTATTGTCAAGTTGGTTTCCACATAGCAACCAGGGCTCATCCCCACAAGTGCCCCTCTCCGTGCCCATCCCTCCTCCCCCAACATCCATCAGTCCTCAGTTTTTGTCAGCATTCAAGAGTCTCTCATGGTTTGCCTCTCCCCCTTTCCCCCACTATTTCCCCCCTTCTTCTCCCCCATGGTCCTCCGTTAATTTCCTCCTAATCTTCCTATACATGCAAACATATGATATTTGTCCTTCTCTGCATAAGGCCATGTTCTATTTAAGGTGCTTCCACTGACACAACTAAATTTTAAAAATAAAAATATACCTTTTCTAAAAATACACTGACTACATCAAGCCATACTTGAGTAAATATCCTGGTGAGGTTTTCTCTTTTAAAAAGAAATGGTGCTGAACACACCATTTTAAGTTGATACCAATCTGTTCTTCTGTATTATATAGACAGAATTATAGATGAAAAACAAAAAAAAAAAAAACTCCAAATACTCTTCAGTGGTGAATGGATCAAAATGTCCTAAAAACAAAACTAAAACCCTTAAAAAAATTAAAACTCAGGACCCAATGCAGTCCATAATCTGCCCCAAAATTTCTTTCTTCACAACCAGGTATTTAAATTCCTGAGATTACAAAAGTGCCGAAAAGCAATTAACACTTCCTAGCTGACTGATTTATAGCATTTTCAATATACCAAATAAACACACAAATGCATATAAGGAAGAAACTTTCCAAATCCACCTTAGAATGAACATGGGGCTACTTAATACAGGAAGCATTCCTATTCGCCTATCACACTGGCTGGTATGTAGTAAGAGTTCAATAATTAGCTGAATGAAACATCACAGCCCAGTGGTATACTGAAAAAAATTTAAGACTTTTCTCAATAGATTTCTATATCAGGAATCTAACTTAACACCAGTGGTTATAATTCAGAACATAGATGCCTAGAAAAAATACCAACATACTAGGAAGAAATGATGCGTATTAAGAAGATTGTCTCCAAAAGTCTTAAACTTGTGGGTTTTTGTTTTGCTTTGATAGAGAGAGAGCACAAGAGTGTGAGTCAAAGAGAGGGGCGGGGCGGGGGGGGGGAGAACAGGAGAAAAAGAGAGAGAAAGAGAGAGAGAAAGAGGAAGAGACGGAGGGAGGGAAGGAGGAAAGGAGGGAGGGAGGGAGGGAGGGAGAATATCAAGGAGGCTTCACGCTCAGCAGAGAGCTGGACATAGGGCTCAATCCCATGACCTGAACCAAAATCAAGAGTCAGACATTCAACCCAACTAAGCCACTCAGGCATCCCTAACTTGTGGGATTTTTTAAATTAATCATTTAAAATATTCTTTCTTCACACTAATTATATTCAGATCCAGTCTACAGTTCTCTGGAAAGTTTTGGAAGAAATGTTAGAGTCCACTCATCCCCTCATCCTCCTGTGATTTACTTCTCAGCAACACCTTTATATACCAAGTAACGGTACAGCCAACTTTTAAAGCTGAATTACGAACTCCAGAATATATCCAGGGGTTTATATGGGCGACACTGAAACATTCAGAACCACAGCTGAGCTAGCAGGCATTGCTGTAATTACCCACTATTGGAGAAGGACTTTTGTGCCTGTTATAGCAAAAAGCATAACAATATTAAATCACAGAAGGTTGCAAAACACCAAATTTGTTCTAGTTCTGTTATAAGAATCAATCAATATTGACCACAAGAGGCCTATGCACTGACTGGCTGCAGGTGTGCAGAGAAAGCCTAGTTTCCCTGAAACCATTCTGTGACCAGAAATGGGAGTACTTAAAGCTCCGTGACTACACCATCCTCTGATCAGTTACCTCCATTCAATGTTACAACACTCCTTGCTGTAAAGCTAATCATAGCAGAGCCCCAGTAGGCTGGCAGAACACAGGCAGATCTGTTTAATTAGTTTATCAATACTAGTACATCAAACTTCATGAGTTATTGACTAAACCTTTGATTATTTTTGTACTATAACCACTGATTGCTTACTAGGTAACTTTTGGTATCATTTGACATCAAATGGAAGATGACGTACAGCTTCACTGTGTGTCTAAGGCAGCATGTACTTATAAAAATGAAATTCTGCACTTGACAGGAATGAAACATCAGTCAATTCTCTAAACATAAATTTTAAGAAGCTTATGTCAGTTTTCTCACATTAGATAAGTATGTTTCAAAAAACAAGGTATTTCAAGAACAAAAGAAACTCAAACATACCAATAATTATGTTTATAGTGACATTTTTGTTACAGAACATTAGGCAGTATACAAGAATCTGAGTGTAAAGGGAGGAGATGAAAAAATAGGAAAGTTCTATTATTATAACTACCTGAACAGAGCAAACAGCTTTAAATGAACAATAATTAATACAGAATTTTCTGCTTATAAGAAGACTAGAAGTCCAGGGGGAACTAGTTAATTTACTACCAATTTCTAATGACTTGCTCATTTCTACCCATCTCTAAGTCATAAAAAAAAAAAAAGTTATATCAATGCTAGATACTTCCCAAATAATAGCTAATACCAGATGTGGATAAAAGGCCAAAGTCATTAAGGGAGAGGAAGAGGAAGGATGCATCAAACACAAAGGATGGCTCTAAAAAGGGTAAGGGTCCAAGCCACCTGGCTTTTGCTTCTGACTCTGAAACATGAGCTTGATCTGACAACTTAACCTCTCTGTTACTGTGGCCTCATATATAAAATATGGGAAATGACAGAATCAACCTCACAGAGTTATTTGTGAGGATAAAATGAGTTGATATATGTAAGGTACTAACAACCTTGCACAGAAAGCATCTTTTAAATGTTAGCAATCATTGCTTCTGAGAGACTCTATTCCTAAAACACTTAGATAACAGCTTTACCTATGTCTAACAATTTTTCTAAGTCAAATCTCAATTTTTTTCAGATACCTGCACTTACATCAAATTAGAAGTTCAGATAGCATGACCATAATACATCAAAGAGAGTTTAACTCTTGATATTATCAATTCAGAATTATATATAGCAACAAGCATATTATTATGTACGTAATAAATGCATAATAAATATCTATCCAATTAATGACAA